ATCTAATTACCCATTACGAATTAATATGTTTTTAATCCACAATGGCTTTACGTGTCCCAGAGCAAAGATTATTCTGGCTATTGGTTTTCTCTTACTACGATATAGCAACGAGATCCTCAATCATTTCCGAATCTTTGTACATAATACAACTAAGACTAGATACATACAACAAAGCTCCATTTGTCCTCTTCACAGATCTTGTACAAATGTGCTCAGGATAATCAATCACACAGTAACACGCAGTTACCCGGCAAAGCAATATGGCGTGAGCCAAGTCCACACATCTTCATTCGTCAATCACTTGTATGAAATATATTCCAGCAGAGCGAAACAAATTAATTAGCTATTAGTCGGATTAGTTGGGAAGTGGGTCACCAAACGTATAAAGATAGTCTCAATCCATTCCACAGTTGGCTGTCAATAGCAGTAATGAGCTTCGCATGGAGGGGAAATACATTTATACAAAACATTTTGTTCCGTATCAGAGATTCCCACCCTCATTATATTAGATACTGATGTTTCCGATACGTAGATATAGATATCTCCATAATCAATAACATTGATTCAATTAATTGGAATGTCTAATGTTTTTCCTTGTTCAATTAAAAATATTGATTTATTTCAAGTTATATATCTATCGTGTCGCCTTTGAAATATTAAACAATTATGCTACTATTAGGTAGTTGGACAAGATAATAAAATTTATTAATGGTGTAACTTGTATGGTATGTGTAAAACTAGTTCTGTTAAAAGCGCTACTGCGAATGCAGCGCGCTTGTTCGAAACAAAGTTCCGACAGCTGTCGTTTCAATAGACTGCAAGATACAGTTAACAGGCAAGCATTTTTAATGTTGACAAAGACGTTAGTTCTTGTACAGCGTCGAGCCTAACATCGTTTGTGACCTAGAACTGCATAACAACGGTATATTTGAACTTTGAAGTGAACATGAACTCCCAGAAGCGCGCTGAAGTTACAAAGTAAATTGAATTGTAATCCGAGCGGCGCCGGCGTAGGCAGATGAGAAGTTAATCCGAGGACGCCTAACGCAATTATGATATGTTAATTTCCCTTTGTTATTGCTTCGCCCCATCGCTAATGGCGTTACGAAATGTTTGCCCAATACCACCGATAAAGCCATTGTTATACAGTTTTTGTTTCATGTCTTGCAACCTGCTTGTTCCAGTTTCCCTTTTGCCCGGCGCTCCCTGAATGGCAGTGGGTTGAAAGGGGACACATGTCACTATCGACGGGGCTATACATCCCCTGAATACGAAATTACCCGGGTCAGTGGTAACAGGCGAGTTCGGGAACACTGCTTGTTTGCGCCGAGCCCCTAGAGCCCACTCGTAGTTTGGAGCAACGACCGCGTACCGACCATTTACGGTTTATCATAAAACGAGTATTCTTTGTTTTCTCATATTTTTATTAGCTGCACTTCAAATACTCTATTCAAATGAAGCCAGAAAAAGGTTATTGGTATTTACTTATTCAAAAAACGCGTTTCTTTGAGTGTTAATTAAAAATTCAATTAAGATCCAACACCCACTTCTATGTTCAGTGTTAATTATGTAGCATTAAACACTGAGATATTACTGCGTCAGTGTAAACATAAATCGTACGTAAAATTTAGCAATTGTCGTAAATTACTCTTAAAACACAAATGCTAGTAAAATTGTAACGGGCAGCTTTTAGTTGTCTGACATTAACAAATACCTAAACGTTCTTACAATAAATGAGCTACAAACTTGGCAAAATGAATTGTGCGCAATTTCGTGCATCTCTGTCTTGTGTTTTCTACAAACATACGTTGGGTAAACGTTAGGAATAAGATAGATAAACGCAAAATAATAAGTACATTATACAGCAATACTCTAGTTGACCAGTTCTGGGTGCTCACTCTTGAAACCAATCTCAATGTCAATGCTATCTCAATCTAATAAAATCTCAATAATTATTCAATGTCAAAACTGTACAACCCCATATCGTAGCTGTTAAATTAATAGCAAATAGCAATAGCATTCAGAATACGGAATATGAAGCCAAACTCAATACCGTTTAGTTCATTAAATATCCACGTAATACGGATGTAATGGGCGCTAGTGTTGCAACTCAAGAGTACGTAATTTCACAATACCTACCAATGTCGATCGATCGGAATTGGATTCAAGAGTAAGCCCCCTGTTATGAGTCTCTTATAACCAATAATAAATACTGTGAATATCATAGTTAGTAATCAATACTGTGAATATTAAACATCCAGAAACGCAATGACCAATCCTGGGGGCATTGGACATGAAATATCTTGTTCAACAAGTCTATTTGATGGTGTTTAGTAATAGCAGAAATAACACCAATGTAAAATTACCGGTCCATTTTCATTCCAACTCGAGATAAAAATACGAATACATCATAGCGTCGTATATTGACATCGTCTCCACGCTTCAGTGACTTGCCATCTAAAATTAAAAGAGCGTTTAATATTTCTCTTAAATCAATACCTACCGCCTACGCTTCTAAAGGTCACTACCGCGTAATTCAATTGACAAGATATTAAGTGATATGACGTTTTCTATATCACATAACGTAATAGCGTATAGACTTCAAGAAGAAATAGACACAGGGAAGAAAGGGACTACTTTTAAATATTTTATGTTTATGTTTTTAATCTAAGACAGTCCTCTTACGCACACGCACACTAACTACTTACGTACAGGTGAAAAAAGTCTAGTAAAAGTCAGACCAAATGATAAAAGAAATACCAACTACATCTGCTTGAAATAGTCTATACTAGAATCCGACGTACAGTCCATGGCAACATCTCAGCTTCATCAAGTCGCAATAAATGTAGTGGCATGTAAATTGTGCAGTAACGTTTGCTGTGGCGCGGTACATGCAAGGCGGCCATTGTCAACAAATTGTATGTTTGTCTTCTGTATCAGCCGGCGGCCGGCCGACACAGCTGCAGAGATTGCGATAATATCATCACTTGTTTATTTTCCCTCTCATATTGACCTCCCCATACATAGCATGCATATGCATATGTGAAGTGGACTCACGTAAGCGGAACACTATTTATAGAGTACATTTTGCGAACGGGACTATCCCAATGAGCTCGTTAATTGTTGCCGGCCAGTAAATACGCACCATTCACAGAGATCATGCAGACATTGCAGCTATTTGTGTGTATCCACAAACGAGGAATAAAATTTAGGTCAAGACCAGTACAAATACATACAGTTTCAAAGACGGACGAATTTAACCGTGGATGTGCTGTTGACAAATATTTCTGTTTAACATTTCAGTTCCCAGCACTGTCTATCAATCTCATTTCTGTTTACATCAAACATAGTTTTTTAGGAATGCGAATATAAATTTCAATATAACATTTCTTTGTGTCATTTGAATGGCAGAAGACGCAATTCAATGCATAATTTGGATGAAAAAGCAGCAATTCGAAACGATACGCATTTACACTTGACAGAGCATGTCCTTCGATTTGGAATCTTGATCATAAAAGATATTCACGTTACGGTTGGCAGGTTTTCTACGTGCTTCTAGGTACCTAATGTCGACAGAATTTGACGTAGATTTAGGAACGTGAGAAATCTAAACTTGTGAGATTGGCGCATCAATGTAAATTAGGAACAAGTAGAACTTTCCGTTGACATGGAATCCTGCTCCATTTCTTGGAAAATTGGCACAATGGCAATGTTACTAGATTATATCATTCACATTCGCGTCACAGTTTCGGTTATTCATGGGCTCGAGGCGGATATGTCCTTTCGATAATGTACAGATGACAGCAGTAAACGTGACGCGTGTCTGAAACACTACCCGCGCTGAATACAGATAGCTGTGTCTGTTCAGCTCGAGCCTTGCGGCCTGCGGTCTGACCACGGGTGTTGATTGCTTGCCTCTTATTATCACTCCGCGGTCTACTCATGTAAACAGTTATAATGGACATAATCCCCGACACAAACAGATAAACATCTCATTCGACAATACTACTTCACCCTTCGAATGCAATAGTACACTAATAATACTCTTGTCCTTTGATCTAAAATTAACCTCACATAAAAACAAATTAGTCGTATCTAAAAATTAGAACAGTTATTAATACAAGTCTAAATGCAGACCACTTGAGCGCCAAATTATTTCTGGAAGCGTTTGAAATTGAAATAACTTCTTAAAAATGTCTGGAGACGTTCATCTTGCAAAATTAGCTAGAGTTGAGGGGGGCCGGTGTGAGACGTGTGACTGCAACATTCCAGGGCAGGCCTGGCGACCTTCACGCACGAGGGAGGGCCACCCAGGATGTCGCAGGGGGCCATGATCACAAAGAGTATATTTAGCTGTCTCCTTTGATGAGGCAATGCGCAGATAAGCGCGTATCGCGACATGCTCCGATGCTCGTGCCCTCGTACGGCCAACACGAGCATATAGACCTACCTTATTAATTAAAAATAAATCAATAAATATTCAATGAGATGACACGAGAGCCTCCCCTAGGCTTTCGACCTACTTTTAAATAAATAAACGTGACCCTATCAGCACGTGCTATAAAAATATGCAGTGCTTCTTCAACATTGATTGACCTAATTTTGTTTGAGATATCAATCACTTAACTTCATGTTTCAATAAAGATTTATTTAGTATGTTTTTCACGGACAGTAAGCTAGGAACGGGTGCTGAAATGACCAATTAAATTTTATTGTTGTACGGTGGCCGTAAATTGGCAAGTCAAGGTGGCCGGAGTATTTGTTTGTCGTGGGCGCGGGTCGTTGTGGCTACTTGAGACTATTTTTGGTTCAGTTTTGTAGATGTCACTTCTTTTTTGGACAAAACTAGTGAATATTGCGTCAGCATAGCTTCCGATTCTATGAGTAGAACGAAGCACGTTTGCCACAACAAATACCTAACAAAAGCTTTAAATTTAAGACTGCCATTATCAAATTTAATTTAGAGACATACATATTAGAAGAAAGATAATGGCACTTACGCGATAGCATCGATCATGTCGAGCCCCATCTCAACAGTACACCTTCCATGGTCTGATCGAGGTTCAGGCAGTCCGGACACGCAGTAGTAGCAGTCGCCAAGAATCTTGATTCGGAGACAGTGGTTATCCTGTACAGTAAATAAATAAAATAATATGTGTAAGCTATATTTAAATTTCCTGTGTGGATCTATCTAATCAAAAATGACATTGAACAGTTTCCAGACATATTCTTGAGTTTAACATACTCGTAGCAATTTAAAATTGATGCAATAAAATGTGTCTATTTGTAAAGTGTCAAACACATACGAATCGGAATGTCAATAGTAATAACACCAGAAAAACCCTAAACATAGCCATAACACAATCGGATACACCTATGACATCAACCATTTAAACAACAACATAATTGTGTAAACAAAAACAAATTACGACGTAAAACAAATAAACTGATGCTTATTCAAAGGGAATTCCTAAGCAAAGAATATTAATTCTAGTTATAAAAAAATATTTCTGTGTATTAGTATTATAAACATCCTTATTTCCCGTAATTACGGTTTTATTCATACACATTCATTTGCAAATCGTCACACAGGAAGAACAGTGCCTCACGATAGGTTCACCTCAAATTGAGAAATAAAGGCCATTATATTTTTTATGGGATAAGGTAAACGAGCAGACAGATCACTTGATGTTAAGCGATCAGCTCCGCCTAAAGATACTCGCAACACAAGAAGAGATACGGATGTAACACAGGGACTTTAAAGGTCTTTAAAAAAGGTGGATGAAATACTTCAAATGTCCAAGAAAACCGTTCTTAAAGGTTTGAATGTTGTATCGAAAGACTGCAGGAGACCGTACATTCCAAAGTTTAGTTGTACAATTTCTAATATACTGTGTTACTCACATTGGCGAGTTGATCGAATCGTCCAAATAGTTCGTTGAGTAGCCGCACCAACTCCTGGGCGCTGCACTGCGACGCGAGCACGGTAAAGCCCACTATATCGGCGAACAGGATACTATGGACAAAAATAATTATAATTCAATAAAAGGAAAAGCTATTAGCGATCTCAATTATACGGAAAAATATGACGTTCCTATTTCTGAGTAGAGAGGGAAGAACATATATAACAATTCTAGAAATATTTCGTCAGTAAAAATAAAGTACTTAGTCCTTGTGTTGTCTCAATACCTATATTAATTTTTTTATTGTACCTATATAAATTGTATGTAAAATTATGACGTCACAATGTGCATTTCGACGCAAGTCACAGAAAAGACCTTTTAGTTTGAAAATTCTAAGTTGAAAAACGATCCTATAATAACTATTAAAAATTACTATGATGTTTAAAGATATTACTCAAAACAATTAAAAAACTAACTGCTTAAATATCGATACACCTATAGATACATATCTAGAACATTATAGAGACAGGAGGAACGACAACTTTCCAGTTATTAGTTTTAATGAAAACTCAGAAACGGGGCTGGCAACATGTTGCAGTTTTAATCAAATTAACTTGATTCTACTTTTGTATCACAATTCTAATTCAGCTCCCGTTGCCTTGTTGGTAGCTCTCAATTAAGAAAACTTCGCAAAATTCTCGCTCACTTATTTATCTACTTTTACAAAGCAAAAACTGTTTTTATATAAGACGAAATAAATAAATTACAAATCAAGACATCAACGCAAGAAATAAAATAAATATTCTAAGGAGTGTTTCTTAACTTGGAGATTTTAGTCGGACTTTGATGAGACAATTCGAATCTTGAAATGGTCAGTCCCTTGTGACTTAGAGAAGTTGAAGGACTTTATTGACAAACTATCTATATGTCGACAGTTACATAAGTATCTAGTTTGTTAAAGACGTATGAACATTGCTGACCAGTACCGTCTTTACCATATGGGCACTCGGGGTCTGTGCCCAGGGCCCCATCATCAGAGGGCCCCTAAGAACCGACAATTTATACGACGGACACACACACATACCACACTACACACGTTGCGCGGCAACCGGCTGCCCCGCAACTTGTAGCGGATTCGATTCCCGCTCGGAGCAAATCTATGTGTGCTCCACAAATTGTTGTTTTGGGCGTAGGTGTCATGTGTATATGAACTTGTATATTTGTAAATAAACGTTGCCCCCCACTATACAGGAGAAAATCCTAGTGTGGGGCAACGTTAAAACATAACATGTTTAACGCAACGTTAAAAAAAAAACAAAAAAACCAAAAAAGCTATCTAAAAGGACCCCGAATTTATTGTGTGCCCAAGGGTCCCAGCGAAGTCAAGACGGCCCTGTCGCTGACCGTGACCTCAATTACGACTAGAAAGAAAAGAGGAAGGTTTTAACTCCTAAAGAATGACTAATCAGAGATTACTAATACATACATTACGCTACGTGCATGTATCACCGTACATTTATTTACATAAGCTTATCACGTTTATTAACGCAAAATTCTAAGTAAAATATAAGGAATTTACTTGATACACAACTTTGTAGATGAATAGGATAGTGATACAAACAGTCGAAGTTCCCATTATCCTAAATTATCGCGTGTAAACAGCCTGTATAACGATGTTTATGCGCCCCCTGTATATAGGAGCATTGTACACAATGTGATAGACGTTTATGACATGTTTTTCACTCATTTTTTGTATTATTCAGGTTTTGTTGTTGTTGCGTGTGGAACATGGCAACACGTAGTTAGAATGAGATTGCAAAGATAAGTTACTGAGGTAGTTGTATGTTTTTTATCGTTATCTTTGGTCGAGTGGTTAGACGTAACAGAAAGAAAGTTTTATAAGGTTTTTGATGTCAAAATTCTCGGTATGGTTTAGAATTGTGAACAACAACAGTAAAAAGGTGTGGCAAAAAGGTAGATGGATTAAAAACGCATTTCAGCACATCTCTTCAGCGTTTTAAAGAAAGTATGCCATGTAAAACTAATAATTGTCTCTAAATCACAGATTGAATATCTGTGATTTAGAGAAATATACTTGAATATACTGAGGAAAGCTCTAATAGTTTCGACCCACAGAGGGACTCTTCCTCATGAGCATTGTGCGCGGTCGAAGTCAGTATATTTACGTTAGTAACCCGCGATTTTTAAATCGCAACAGTTTAAAAGCGGTAAACACATTTTTGTTTACCGCCATCTTTTTATTTTTCATCAGTACTTAAAATATTAAAGAGTTACATAATACTAGAAGGGTATTACCGGTAAGCCCACCAAAGATAAAACCGTAAGAAAATCCTAGTAAAACGTACCGAAGTCTGGTTGAAAGCAATAATCAAGTGCTGAGGTAGCAAAAGTAATAACTACGTCCTTTCAGACCCCTTCCTGATCACAGCTCGGCCATGAGCAAAGACAAAGGTGTCGGATATCCGATATCGGATACTTTATAGTAGGACAGCACTCACTATAAGGAGATCTAAGTTTTTTGCTGATACTGGCTGGTTTTACTTCAGCATCGTGTTTTTTTTTTTCAGTAAAAGCTTTCCTAACTATTGTTGATAATTTTGAATTCGTATCCTTGAACACCTCTTTAGTCTTCATTTTCTATGTGTTGTATAAAACAAATGATCTGTTTGTATGTAAAATTGTAAAGATAATAACGAACACCTATCCGTTAAATCTCACGAAATCGTACATTTATAATTATTTACGTATTTCAATGCAGAATATTGTGTAAAGAATAATGTATGATGTTATTAAAGAAGTATCTAAAATACTAGATAGACAAGTTGAGAAGTATAGACTTTCCATTGCACACTGAAAAATATAAACAAACTTGTGAAGCAATAAACGATAATAGCCCTCTCTTCATTGACGGTACATATGACACATCAGAATATGCAGGACCAGTATTAACTGACCCTTGAATGTACGAATTGATCATACAAAGCGAGGCCGTGATAATATGGTTAAGTATAGCTTGACGTGTTCCCGTGTGTACCAACTAAGAGCTCGTACACAAAACTACGATGCAACGTCGCATCGCAAATTTGTGCGAGCTCGCTCTCCGCATCGCAAGAACTTGCGAATTGATTCGCATCGCGCATCAAAATCTTATCTTCCCAAAATCTTCTTTATTTCTTTTTCCTGTATCTATCTCCTAAGCAACAAAAGTGCACACTTCTTTTTACGATCCATGTCAGAAAGAAAGAAAGAAAATACATTTATTCAGTACCAGACACGATCCAGCATAAGTAACGACGTTTTCAATTTAAAATCCGTTTAGTACGGTTGCGGTCGTCGAAGGAATGGTCATCCTGGGAGACGTCTTGTCGCAAGAAATCGCATCGCAGCAATTCGTGTCGTAATTTTCTGCGTTGCGAATTCGCATTGCATCGCATCGCAGTTTTGTGTACGAACCCTTACTGCCTCGTGATGAGCCTGTAGAGGTATTCCATTAAAAAAACAAAAGGCACTCGGAAGTGTCTCCCGCATATGAGCACTATAACATTAATAAACCATGTAACATTTGGAACTCACTCCTCGATATTTTTCAGTAGAATATTTACGTTATCTGCTTGTTTGTTTATTTTCAATTCATCATATTTTGCGCGCATGGCTTTTTGCACAAACAAATCATTGATAGACAATTATTTAGTATTTCGATCCCTGAGTTAGCAGGGTCAGTGACCTTATTTTTATTTTATTTTTAACCTAGCTGTTGTCCGCTACTTCGTCCGCGTAGAATAATGACTTCTGGCAGAATTTATACTTTTGAATTGGTCTTTATCAAGGGATATTCTACGGTAACGAATGTCGTCAAAATTTAATAAGGACCTAGTTTAGGGCTCCTCCCCCGTAGATGATAGTGTGATAATGACCTATTTGTTGACCCGACCTGTTAGTAATATTTATGCAAAATTTGAAGTAAATTCATGCTTTTTGAGATCATCCCGGGCATACATACAGACAAACAGACAAAAATTCCAAAAACCATATATTTGGCTTCGGCATCGATAGTAAATCACGCACCAAGTATTCTTTAAAAAAATATGAAAAGTACAGTTTTGACTTTTCTACGATTTTATTATATGTATAGATCATGTGAAAAATCGCATTGATTCGTGGTAGGTTCCTAACTCATGCTCGAGATACTGGCTTAACTTTTGGGCAACTAATTCCTTATTTTACTATTGGCAATTCATCAGACTCATTGTGGTATTTAAATTACTAATAGGACCTTTAAATCAAACATTGTAAGACCTACGTCAGCCAACCCATTCCACCACGTGCAAGCGGCCATTAGTATCTTAATTGAACACCACTATTTTGGAAGGTAAACATGACAGTTGTCAAAATAGAGCTGAGCTCATTGCGATTACAATGGATTTCCGATTGTGGCTCGCGCCGATACATTATGCAACCTAGTGTTTTTCAATGGGCACTCGCCAACTCGCTTCAGTGACGTGAAACGAACATGTTTTTTTCACTGGTCGAAAAGAAAAACGCGTAATGATGTAGTAGAACTTTCTTATAGTTCATGAAAGTTCATGTACCTATTTCAGTCTTAATTAGATTAAGCTAATTCGTCCAGTATGGAAGAAATATTCACATTTTTTATTTATGAGAGAACGATAACACAAAAAGCGGATGAGTCAAAAAGCTTTTAAAATTTCCACGTCAAAAGAGAGAGAGTAAATGCATCAGAATATTGTAAATAGGTACAACGAGGAAGAAATGAAATTAATCTCCCCATAATGCATACAAAAGATACCATTCTATGTACAAAGTTATTAAATAATCCCAGTACATAATACCTATTGTTGAGAGATAATGTTTACCCATAATCTGTATTGAAAAGCGGCAGAGCATAGATTCAATCCGTTGGCCTGAACACAAGTATCGCATTAACACACCTCTTTCATTTTCATAGCCATGGGCTTATTGCAAAAAATAAATGAAAATGGATTTTTATTCAAGATTTGTAGACATAAGCCGATGACCCATATGAATGACTGATATTTTATTCAGCTTCCGATCAAAATATCAAAGGATCAAA